CAGGATAGGACCATCAACAAAGCACCTTTGGAAAAGTTCTTTGCCATCTTCGAGGCTCCTGGCTCAAATGACTTCATATGGGGTTGGGGTTGGCTAAAGCTTTCTCTGTGAAGTCTATCTTAAGAAATGTTTCACTTTGTGGGAAACTCTGGATGAAAACTCACCTCCATGGCTCCTCTACATTCGTGCTTTGTGAAAAATTTTTCTTGATGTTTTTAGAACAATGCTTTTCAGTGATTACAGCTAATTTATCTGCTTTTTCCTAGGGCCACAATTACCTTAAGGTAGTGAAAGGGAACAGGTAGACAAAGGGAGCATGCTTTGAAAATGCTGTCCTCTCTTACTGTATATATGAGCATCTGCAGTCTTGGATTTTTCCTTTAACTTGCATCTTTCCAAATTTTGGCATGATTCAGCATACCTCTCATAGGGAAGTCTTTGAAGTTTCACTCTGTAACTTTCTTTCTAGCAGAGAAGTTAAGGAAAACTAAGCCAATCAGTGCGGAAATGCTTCCTTTCCAACTCAGTTGCAGCTGTGTTACATCCAGATGTCTGACTCAGGAAGGAATCAGGTAAGCCACCGGCACCCAAATATTCAGGGCTCAACTAGAAACTCCAAGACCAGAAATGTCTGACTCCCATTCTAAGAAAGGCTCTCTAAAGGTACATGGAAAAGCACAGTCTTGTGCTTTCTGAAAATAGAATCGGGGGGTTACGAACAAGGATAAAATTCTGCCAACGTCCCGAGAGCCCCTGGATAGCTACCTGGGTAACGTCTGATCCTGCTCTGGCCCATTCCCCAAGAAAATGGGATTAATACCTCCCCAGATGGCTACAGGGAGGATTAAGGGTTATTATTCTTGGCATCCAGCTCTATCACAGCTCTAGCAATTGTGACCTTGTTCATTTTAAAATAAGACATTAAATATAGGGGCGCCTGGGTGGCTCAGTGGGTTAGGCCGCTGCCTTCGGCTCGGGTCGTGATCTCAGGGTCCTGGGATCGAGCCCCGCATCGGGCTCTCTGCTCTCTAGGGGAGCCTGCTTCCTCCTCTCTCTCTGCCTGCCTCTCTGCCTGCTTGTGATCTCTCTGTCAAATAAATAAATAAAATCTTTAAAAAAAAAAGACATTAAATATAAAAATGCAAACAGTGATCCCTGAATCTGACTCTATAGTAGGGTGAGGAATTTTTTCCCACAAGACCTCTGACACTGCCTCCTATACTCGAACCTACTGGCTGATCCCTCCTCTTACTCAGGCCTCAAGTTTTTAAGGTATTAGTCACTAATGCCACAAAGCCCTTCAAGGAGTCAGCAGCTATTACAAATAGTACACAGAGGGGCACCTGGGTGGCTCAGTGGGTTAAGCCGCTGCCTTCGGCTCAGGTCATGATCTCAGGGTCCTGGGATCGAGTCCCGCATCTGGCTCTCTGCTCAGCAGGGAGCCTGCTTCCCTCTCTCTCTCTCTCTGCCTGCCTCTCTGTCTACTTGTGATCTCTCTGTCAAATAAATAAATAAAATCTTTAAAAAAAAAATAGTACACAGAGTGAACCCCAGAATTCTCAGGGTGTCACCCTAAAGAAACAAAATGGTACCCTTTTACCCCAAACCCAGGCTCTCAAGGGCAATCAGTGAGGTCTAGCAAAAAGCGTGTATTACATCACTTAGTACTCATAAACCCACTATAAGGAAGGTACTGTCACAAATCTCATTTCACATATGAGGAAACTATAGCTCAGAGAGGACACATGATTTACCCTACGTTACACAGCTAAGAAGGTACAAAGTTTCAAATATCAGTCCTACTTCTAGCTGTGTCACCTAACAGGTTAGTTGTTTTTTTTTTTTAACTTTCTGGAACCTCAGTTTCCTCATTTGTAAAGTGGGGGTAATGAGGATGCCTGGGTGGCTCAGTTAGTTAAGTGCCTGCCTTCAGCTCAGGTCAGGAGCCCAGAGTCCTGGGATCAAGTCCTGCATCGGGTTCCTTGCTCCGTGGGGAGGCTGCTGCTCCCCCTGCCTACTGCCCTCCCTGCTTGTGCTCTCTCCCTGACAAATAAACTAATAAAGTGGGGATAATGATAGTTCCTTCATAGAGGATCTAAGGAGTAAATGAAATATCATAGAAAAAGTATCTAAGAAGTGCCTGGCACACAGTAAGTATGAAATATGAGTTAGTTGTTTTACAGATCAATACAGCAGGAGTTTGACATCATTTCCATGTAATAACAGGGTTTAAAATACTGAATAACTAATTAGTCCAGTTACCTACGTAAGTATGAACTCCTCTACCAAATCCTTTATAAGAAGTGGAAAAGCCTCTGCTTGAATACCTACAATGACGAGTAACTCATTCCCTCCTAGGGTGGCCGATTTTGCTTTTAGAAAGCTGAATTTTCTCCTACCAAGCCAACGTCTCCTCTCTTGGAATTTCTATCCCTTGATCCTAGTGCTGCTTTCCAGAATCACACAGAGAAAGTCCAGTTCTCTTTCTACATAACAGTTCTTCAAACACTTGAAGGCAGGTTTTGTGTTCCCCCAGGCTCTTAGCATTAGTCCTTTCAGACCTTCAAGCATCACAGCCTCAAAGGAGACAGGCCCTGGTTTGAATTCTAAACATTTCCTATATTTGCTGTGTGACCTTAAGAAAGTTATTTAACCTCTCTGTACCTGTATCTTCATATGTATAATAGGGAAAATGATCTTTGCCTCACAGGCAGTTATGAGGGCTAAATTAGATAAAGTAAAACACTAACTATCACACATCCCAACATATACCAGGCCCTCAATAAATGTCAGTTACTTCTTAGAATGTGTTCTAATTAGTAAATATCTCTCAAAGTTAGACACAATTAAATGTAACACCAAGGGATTGGTTTCTGATAGAAAATACCAGGGCTTGTGTTTTTGTAGCCAAGGACTTAGGTGAGTCCCTCTGCAACGGCGGCCCAAAGATGCAGTGGAATCCAGAAAGGTAAGGATAAAAGAAGAAAGGAATCAGGATCATTCAATCAGTGATCCCCAAAAAAAGGTAAGTATCACCATATTACATGTTGTTTATGATTCCCTCTTTACGACCCAGGACTGCACATGTGGGCCACACTCCCTAATTCAAAAAGGAGTGAAGAAACTAACGAGAAAATAATTTAAAAATTGTTGAAGTCATAGTTCTGGGTCTTTGCAGCAGCTGCCCCCTCAAAGTCCAAAGATGTTTAACAGAGGGCTTTAAAATCTTCAGTTGTATCCTTCCAGGTCCCGAAGTCTAGGTGTGTGAAAAAACCCTAATTTGATGTCCCATGAGTCACTACTGAGTTCCTTCCAGCTAGAAAATTTGTCAGCTGCATGACAACTCTAAAAATCCCCAAGTGGCAAATCGCCAATGTTAATACCATCACCATAATCACTACACATATTCTCTTCCTTTCAGTAACTCCAAGAGAAGGAGTCTTAGGCAGAAATACGGATTGTTGTTCTATTATTCTTCAGAATTGACCCAAAGCACTGCTTCTACAAATTGACAGGTGGCTTGAACATAAGTGTCCCCAAATAGGTCAAAATACCCCAGTATTAAAGCAGCAGGATCACAAACTATGGCAGAAAATGTTTCTCCGTCTGCCAATGAAATACAACAACCTGCACTGGAAATCCACTGTTAAGTCTCAACATCGTCAGCCCAATCAAGCCTTTCTAGTTACTCCCCGGTCTATGCTAGAGGACCCAGTTATTATACTCAGCAGACAAGATTCAATTCAATCCAGAAACAGCCCTAAGTAGTTCCTTCACTTCGAGAAGACACTAGCCACTCAGGAGGGACTGTAAGCTACAGAAAAGCTTCGTTCAGATCACTGGGCATACCTGTGCCCTAGGCAGAGATCTCATAACATCTTTGAGTCTGGAGGTGTCCTCTGAATAGTTTCTTCTGAAAACTGTTTCAGGCTTTGTTAAAAGGGAACACTTAACTGCCACTTTACCCTGATCATCTACCCCATCCTTGGGAAGAATGGGGAAGTTACAGACACCCTATCAGGTTTCTAAACTCATAAACTTAAGAAGAAAACTTTAAAGTTGCTCTACCACTACCTCAGGAAGTTCTAAAAAAAAAAAAAAAGTCACAGAAGAAAAGGACTTTGAGGAAAATAGTCAAATTAGGCAGTCAACTTTAGTCATAAGTCCTGATACCTCTTTTCTAGAGTCCCTGGTGGTACACCTACAGAGGAGAGTCAGAGGTCACTAAGCAAAGTCAATCTGGCTGGCAAGGAGTGGGGGCGTCCCACTGTAGCTTTCAGTGACAAGACTTGGTACCTGATGGTTCACAGTCTCTCTCCTATTCTACACTTCCTACTTCCCTTTTAAGTGGGTTACTGAATAACCCGTTCCCAAGTAAAGGCCCTCTGTAAGGGCGTTACAGTCGCCTGGTGGAAACACCTTAGGAGTTCTGCTTAGTGCCAGGATGGGCCACTGAAGGCATCTGCGGCTGCAAGAAGCCTGGCCACGGACGGACGGACACACACACACACACTCACAGAGAAAGAGAGCGGGATAGAGAGAGACAGAGACAGAGCGCGAGAGCAAGCGAGACAGAGCGAGAGCAGGAAACTAAGAGAGCAGGTCAGGTCAACGTAGCCCTCCCGGCATTTCCACCTGCCCCCTTCTTCCTGAGACCGGCGCCAGATCAGATGTCAAACAAAAACTCCGCAAAAAAGTCCCGTGATGGGATGACTTCCACCTCTCCCTTGGCAGAGCCCCCTGGACTCCCAGAGCGTCCCCCACCACCCGCGTCCCGGCCGGCCCTCCATCCCCACCCCGCCCCCGGCCCACTCTGCCCTTCGCCCCTGAGAGGCCTGCCCCCTCTCGGGACACCCCGGAGCCCCGAGGCTGGCGGCCTCAGGGCCCCCGGGCCGGCAAGGCTGTGGCCGGCCCAGAGCGGGCGGCCCGTGTGCCGGGACTGCGGGAGCCGGTTCTCGCTTCGGCGCCAGGCGAAGGCAGGGGGCGGTGGCTACCAGTACCTGTCAGGCCTCTTCCCAGGACCAGCGACCGCGCAACTTCAGGAGCCCATGTCCGTCCGGGGGGCCCGGCCCCTCTCCCGGGAGGGGGGGGGCGCGGATCCCGGGGAGGGGGCTGGGGGGCCCGGGCAGCTCTAGCCCCTTCCCATGCTCCCCGCCCGGCGCCTGGCCAGGGCCGGACAGCGCCTCCGCCCGCCCCTGCGCACCGCCTCACACCCGCGCTCACACACACTCACACTCCCTCGCGCGCTCTCACACACGCACTCCCCTCCCTCCTCCTCCTCTGTTTATCTCCTCCAGCTGTCTGGGGACCCAGGAGAAGCCCAGCACCGCGCCTGCGCCACGCAGTCTCCGCCTCCGCCCCGCGCCTCACAGCCGGCGGCTACGCTACGGAGAGAGCGTCCGGCGGTTTCCAGAATGGCTAGCCGGGCCCCTCCCCCTCCCCGCGCGCCCGGTCAACGTCTGCTGCCGGCGGTGCCTCCTAACATGCTAGTGGGGGAGCCCCGCACCGCCGCGACCAATCCACTCCTGCGCTCGCCAGACCCGCAGCCAGTGGGCAGGCGGGAAAGCCGGGCTAAGCCCAAGGGCATCCTGGGAATCGTAGTTTTTCCCCGTCGAAGAGCTCCTGCCCAGTGGGCTCACCCCGCCCAGTTGCCATTAGTTACCCTGACGCACCTCCCACCCCACATCCAGGGAAAATGGTCCCTCACGTTGCTTCTGGGACACCCCTAACACTCACCCATTGCGCCTCAGAGCCAGACACAGTCTCCTGAGAGCCTCACCAAGACTTCCTCAGATCCCCTGAATTGGGAGACTTTTCAGGCTGGGGCCCCGACGCCCCCCTCCAATCCCCCAGAGCCCAGCTTCCTCTTACTCTTTCCTGCCCTGGAGGGCTGCTGAGTGGCACATTCCTCACTCTTGCTCCTGGGCCTGAAGAAAGAGGATAAAACGTAATCAGTCCTACAACCGAGTGGCTTGGAGGGGAGCCAACCACACACTACGGAAACCCTCAGGCTGACCGAAAGAGACAGAGATGAGGTCCTTCTGAGACTAACTGGTGGAGGCACTACTGTTCCCCCCTCTAAGGAAGAGGCGGTTCCAGCCTAGTGGAGTGCGACGTCTGCTAGAGGAGGCACCAACCTAAGGAAGTGCTCAAGGTGACAAGGGAGGCATCAGGTGTAACTTCTGAAAGCAGAGACTAGGCCCCACCCATGAGGTGCCTCAGGTCAGAAAAAGGAAAAATTGTCACCATTTTCTGAGAATGGAAACTTGGCACTCACCCATAGGGTGGGTGCCATTTGTCAGATAACAGTAATTCGCTTTTATTTAGTATTTACCATGTCACCACTGTATTGAGTACAATTTCTTAGATACTCCCACTCTTATGGTGTTTTGCAGAAAAGAAAAGAAAGCTGAAGCACAAAGAGATTAAAAGCAACTTGCCCAGGGTCACAGAGCCTGGATAAAACGCCTGGATAAAAAGCCTGGGATTTGAACCTAGATCAGCCTTACTCCAGAGTCTGAGCCTTGGAACACTACCTGTCCCTCCAGTGAGAACCGGGCAGCACCTACTCTCATGAAGGACTACGTGTATTTACCATCCACAGTGTTTGTTCCATGTTTATCACTCCATGAGTTGCTTTTTTCCTACTTCTGCTCACATCAAGTATATAAATTAGTCTGTGAGCTCCCAAAGGGTGATTTCTTCCCATTTGGAGGAGTTAGAACCTACTTGTGAATTCAGCTTTGTGAAATGCTTTTCTCCTATAAATGTGGGTCATTCTTCCTGATGTCTCCCCCACAGATGTTCCACTGAATATAAAATATCATAAATTTTGGGACTAGAATAAAACTGAAATTATCCATAGCTCCTCAGGCTCAGGCTGAAAGCCTGGCTAGGGTCACTGGCTCAATTAAAATGAAAAATAACTAATATATGTGGAGTATTTACCATGAGAAAGAAGTTCTTATCAGTGAATTAAACAATACTCACAAATTGCATAGCTAGGAAGTGTGGTAAAGTTGGGATTCAAACCCAGATTATTTTAATCCAGAATTCCCATTTTAAACCTTTGCTCTATGCCGGCAATGTCACATGGGCTCTTAGAAATACCAACAGAGGGCGCCTGGGTGGCTCAGTGGGTTAAGCCTCTGCCTTCGGCTCAGTCATGATCTCAGGGTCCTGGAATCGAGTCCCCCGTCGGGCTCTCTGCTCAGCGGGGAGCCTGCTTCCTCCTCTCTCTCTGCCTTCCTCTATGCCTACTCATGATCTCTCTCTGTCAAATAAATAAATAAAATCTTTTAAAAAGAAGAAAGAAAGAAAGGAAGAAAGAAAGAAAGAAAGAAAGAAAGAAAGAAAGAAATACCAACAGAGAAGTGTGGGTGATGTACCTGTGGCTCCTAGCACAGTAGACAGTAAATAATGGTTGGCAGAATGAACTTTTGTTGGTAAGGAATGGGTGATAGTGTATGGTTTTGGAATATAGGCGAGGTTCGGTGGAGTGAAGTCTGGAGCCAATGATCAAGAAATAATTCTTGAGCCATCTTTGGTGCAAAATGGTGTTCTTTTTAGAGCACGGGGACAAAACCCGTTGGCACAAAGAGCTATGGCACAGGGGTCTTGAGGAATGGCTCATTATATACTTGCAAGTTGGGGGAGGTAAGGAAAAGGGAGGTTTCAAAAGAACTTTCATATGCTAAAGAGGACCCACCTAAAAGATCCTTGCAAGATACCAGAGACCAGGTGCCCTTGTCAAGTTAAGGTTGTTTTCCCTTCTAGCAAGGTTATTAACATTAAGACAATTGGGAGATTCCTGGAAGAAAGTCACACGTGTCCCACCCAGGAGTGGCGGCTGGAAGGAAGTTGCAGGGTGTCCGCTTATGCTTTTGTTTTCAGCTAGCCTCCACTCCCTTATCAATAAGATGAAGAATATTAATAATAGCTGAGAGCTGCCTGGGTGGCTCAGTTGGTTAAGGATCTGACTTCGGCTCGGGTCATGATCTTGGGGTTCTGGGATTGAAACCCACGTTGAGCTCCACATCAGGCTCTGCTTGTCCTTGTCCCTCTCCTTCTGACAAACCCCCCTTCTCTCTCTCTCAAATATATAATTAAAATCTTAAAAAATAATAGCTGCAGCTAAAATTAATTGATTATTTTCTTTAAAAATAATATAAAATAAAAATAATTATTTTCTACCAGGAGCTCACTTGCCCTCCCATGCACTCTCTTTTCTACAGATAGGAATATACACACGTATATGCTATATGAGTATATTTCATATATATACATGTATATACATATGCATATGTATATGTGCATACATTTATCTATGTATACACACATTCACACACACTAATTCATTTGATTCCCATAACCCATTTGATTGAATTAGGTATTATTCTTACTCGCATTTTTACATAGAAAAAACAGGCTCACAGGAGACTTAAGTTCAGAATCGGGCACCCCTCCCAGCCAGAAATGTTTTTAGATAATTTTAGATAATTTAAGAGAAAAATTTCCTACTTCTAGAACTGAGCTTCTGTGGGAAGTTGTAAACTCTCTGTTTTTGATAGTATTCAAGAATAGGATGTATAATCACTTGTCCAGAATACTGTGGAAGCAATAGCTTTATTGGGTCCATATTTAAGTAACTAATTCCAACATTCTCTTGTTTGGCTTTTGGAAGAAGACCAATATTATTTGAATAATAAGACTTGTGACAATTAAGGTAGCTCCTTTTCCTCTCCTAAGTGCACTAGATAATCCCTCAGCTGATCAGCTCTGCAGAGCTAGTCACTGATACAACCGTTTTCATCCCTGGATTGGACTCCTGGGCAAAAGGAGGCATAGGCAACCTAAAATTGAAGATGCCCTTGTTCTATAACCCAGAAGTTTTACTTCTAATATTAAAGAAACTGTTGCATGTGTATACAAGAAGACATGGGCAAGGAATATGACTTCCAGTCTTCTTGTAATAGCAAAAAAAAAAAAAAAAGGTCAAAACAACCTAACTGTCCTTCTGTAGGGGAAAGGATGGATTAGTTATCATTTGTTCATACAGTGAAGTATTACACAACCAATTAAATTATTTATGTGCTATCAAGATAGATACATGTTTAAAACATAATGATGAATGGAAAAAAGGAAGTTGAAAGATGATGTATTTGGTATGATATTTGTGTAAAATTTAACACAAAAAATGCCACATATTATAGATGCATGCAGTAAAAGTACACAAATTGACATGGGAAAGACACACAGCAATTTTGAGAGAATAGTTGTCACTGAGGAAAAGGAAGAAAGAAGAGGTGAGGGATGAGGTTTTAGCTATATTTGTAATATTTTATATCTTAAGAGATTAGAAGTAAATATAGCAAAATATTAAAATATTAAAATTTTATCTTGGGGATTATATTATTATCTGTACTTTTCTGAAGGTTTAAAATAGTTTGTAATTATTTATAAAAATTTAAAGATTAAGTAAGGGGCAAAGAAATCCATTTCAACACAGGCACCAGTCTTGTCTAAAAGTTGAAGGTCTATTAAAAAGAAAAAAGTTAAAGATCTATATCTGTACACTGGTAATTATTATTATATAAGAATCTCATTGTTTAAAAAAAAAACAGGTACTACCTCCATGTATTTTCTTTAGGACTTATAGTTGCAAACATTTGACATACAATCTGGGTCACTTAAGAAAAGGTTGAGACTTGCTGGTTTCAGTTGGTCCCTTCATTTACTGAGGAGAAAATGGTGGCCTAAAACAGTACACAAATTGCCAAGGTCCCAACTTGTCCACTCCGGTCCAACTGGTCCATCCAGAGTATCCAAACTCATCTTAAAGACACTGTAGCATTGTTCAAGTTCTTCTCTTCACTTGAGGGGAACCATACTCCTACTCTCATTTACCTAACTGGTCTGTTCTTTCTCCGAAACTCTACTCAGCTAGGCTAAGAAAGAATTAGCCAATCTCACTCCCCAAACTATGGTCTGAATGTTAAAGTTGAGCGGGCCCTAAAGGGTTCCCCTGCTAGGCACCCTCAGTTCTCTGATCAGCCTTTCCCATGAAGGCACGTTCTCTGTATCACGGGGCAACATTTTTGTGTCTGAACTACACTGATCATGGGACAGCCCTTAATAATAAAGTTCTTATTGGTCTCAACTCTGTTCTCTGTAACAACATAGATTTTTTCATAATAATCCCTTTTCCTC